CCTCTTGAAAGAGCTTGTCCGCAAGCTCGAAGTCTGGATAGGCATTACGAAAATGTTCAGCATCCTCCCAAGTAGCATCTGACCAATCAAACCCACACCAGTGCACTAAGAGTTTCCAAGTTCCTCGATTAAGACGAGCTCGTAGAACAGAATAAGACATAGGAACAACACGACCATCCGCTAGTGGTGGCAGAGTCAGAGAAACTGTGGGAGCAACACTCTTAAAAGCTTTAAGGAGGGATACATGAAATACATTATGCAACTTACAATCACTGGGCAGCTGAAACTCATACGCAACTTTCCCTATTCGCCGCAACATAGGAAAAGGCCCAAAGAACTGAGGTGCAAGCTTATGGCGTAGTTGACCCGCAATAGATTTTTGACGATAAGGATGTAAACACAGCCAAAGTAGTGAACCTGGCTCATATGCAACCTCACGGTCACCTTTGTCATAACAGTCTTTCATCCTAACTTGAGCTTTTTTCAACTTGCTGCAAATGTCAAGCAGAACTAAATCACAATCCGGCAATGCATTGTCAATAGCCTCTACTCTTGAAGAACCAGCCACAGAGGACAATAGACAAGGAGGATCTCGTCCATAAACAACCTTAAAGGGAGCTGTTTGCAATGCAGTATGAAAGAAAGTATTATAGGAGTACTATGCCCAAGGCAACCAATCAACCCACTTCTTTGGATAATCCGCATCCAAGCAAGACAAATACATTTCAATAGTACGATTCACAACTTCAGTTTGACCATCAGTCTGAGGATGATAAGCAGAAGAGAATGCCAACTTTGTTCCACATAGACGAAACAATTCTCTCCAAAATGTGCTTATAAAAATCACATCCCTGTCACAAGTAATCGATTCGGGTATCCCATGCAATCTAACAATATTCTCAAAGAAAACATAGGCAACACGGGTTGCAGTGTAAGGGTGAGACATGGGTATGAAGTGTGCATATTTGGAAAAATGATCGACTACCACAAAAAATACTGTTTTGCCCCAAGCCTTTGCTAAGCCATCAATAAAGTCCATTGAGATGCCAGCCCATACCTGCACAGGAAGTGCAAGTGGCTATAGTAAACCTGCATGGCTTAGATGTTCAGCCTTATTGCGTTGACAAACTTGACAAGCAGCGACATAATTCCCAATAACCGACTTCATACCTTTCCAGTAGAAATCTTGCCGTATGCGCTGCAGTGTTTTTTGTAGCCCTTCATAGGCATTATCATGATATCCTGATAGAATAGTAGCAATCAATTGGGAAAAAGGCAGCAAGTAGATACTGCCTTTATAAAATAGTAGCCCGTATTTGATTGACTAGGAAGCATCAAGTTCTTGACGAAGGACTTGTTGAACTAATTCTTGCAAGGAAGCATCATTGCAGATCTCTTCTCTAATCGCATTAAGCAGTAGTATACGTGGTTGGCTGATGGCATACAGTAATTCCTCCTTACCAGGACGACGTGACAAGGCATCAACAGCCTTATTCAAGTGGCCTGCCTTATACTCTACATAAAAATCAAATCCCATAAGCTTGCTGATCCAATGTTGTTGAGATGAAGTCGTAAGCCGTTGTTCCAACAAGTATTTAAGGCTATAGTGGTCTGTGCGAATCAAGAAAGACATGCCACATAGATAAGGATGCCAATGTTGCACTGCTTTAGCCAAGCCAATTAATTCTCGCTCATATGCAGCCAATTTAAAGTGTCGAGCTGCCAGTTGTCGACTGAACAAAGCAATAGGATGGCCATTCTGTTGCAACACCGCTCCAATACCACCTCCCGAGGATCACATTCAATTATAAATGGATCATTAAAATTTGGTAATTGTAAAACATGAGCAGTTGCAAGTGCTTTTTTAAGAGTGTCAAAAGAAGCCAAAGTTGTTTCATCCCACTGGAACGAATTTCTTTTAAGCATGTGAGTTAAAGGGGCTGCTAACTGACAGTAAATTCTTATAAATTTACGGTAATAACCTGCTAAGCCCAAGAATCTGCGCAAGGTAGTGGTGGACTGTGGTTGATGCCAATCAATGATAGCCTCAACCTTGTTTGTGTCTGTTACCATGCCTGTTTCAGACACCACATGGCCAAGATATGCTACTTGGGTCTCTCCAAAAGAATATTTGGATCTCTTGACATAAAGGTTATGGGTACGCAATAACTCAAAAACGATGCCAATATGAGTGAGATGATCATCCCATGTTTTGCTATATATTAAAATATCGTCAAAGAAAACCAACACAAATTGACGCAAGTGTGGTTTAAAAACCTCATTCATTAGTGCTTGAAATGTTGATGGGGTGTTTGACAATCCAAACGGCATAACCAAAAATTCAAAGTGGCCATGATGCGTGCGAAAGGCTGTCTTCTCAATATCTAGGGGATCCATGCGGACCTGATGATAGCCCGACTTCAAATCTAGCTTCGTGAAATATTTGGACCCGTACAATTCATCTAATAATTCATCCATCACTGGAATTAGAAATTTATCCTTCACTGTCTTAGCATTGAGCTCACGATAATCAACACAAAAATGCCAAGTTCCATCATGCTTACGAACCAATAAAACTGGAGATGAGAAGGGTGATCTACTAGGCCGAATGATTCCTTGTCTTAACATGTCCGCACACTTTTTTCTATCTCATCTTTCTGCAAATGAGGATACTGGTATGGTCGAACTACCACTGGTTTGGAACCAGGCAATAAGCAAATGCGATAATCACAATTTCGCATCGGAGGCAGCCCAGTAGGCTCTTGAAATAAGTCAGCAAATTCGGCCAAAACCTGCTCCAGTTTGCTGTGGTGCTCATCTAAATCATGCAATAATTGAAGCTGCAATTTCAAACAGGTTTGCTGCCCTCTAAAGACGACTTGTTTCCTATTTGAAGTAAAACTCATTTCAAGTGTGACGAAGTCCCAAAGAATGGGGCCCAATGTTTGTAACCAAGTCACCCATAAAATAATGTCAAAGCCATCTAACGGAATAACAAAGAAGTCAGCTTCAAAGTTTTGGTTATCAATACAGAAGGATACTGCTGGGCAAGTTCCTTTGCTGTAAACTCTTTCTCTGTTAGCCACTGATACCTTGGCACTTGTCCCAGGCTGTACTTGCATCCCCAAGTATTGCGCTGTTGTGTAACTTATTAGTGTGTGCTACCCAAATCAAATAGGCTCAATAATGGTTGACCTTTCATGATTGCCAGCAACTGCATTGTTCTTGCACACTTCTGTCCCCGTGATGGCATATAAGGAAATTTTAGGTTCTTGTGCATTTTTATGGTCAGGTTCTTCATCATCTAGATCAGCTAGTTCCAACCAAAATAGCTTCTTACATTGATGCCCAATCGAATACAATTCATCACAATTATAACACAATCCTTTTGCCCTTCTCTCTGCCATTTCAGCTCTTGACAACTTTTTTATAAAAGGAGCAGATGAACTTACCAACTTTGGTTCAGTAATACCACCTGGTGCATTGCTACCCTTTGGGGTTGGAATTGTTGAACTTGTAGTAGTACTGAAATAGCCTTTAGTCCCTTGCCAAGTCTCCCTTCGAGAAGATATCGCCCGCACCACCTTCTGTTTTTTTTCAAAAGCTCGAGCTATATTTATGGCATAAACCAAATCTGGTGGACTGCGCATTTCAACATCAAGCCGAATGGAATTGATCAGCCCGACAGTAAAAACACTAACTTGTTGGTCCTCGCGAACATACTTACTGGCCCTGACTAACCGTTCTTGAAATTGACACTGATATTCTTCAATTGAGCCCGTTTGCTTAAGGTTAACCAGATCACCTAGTGGATTACTGCTCAGTGGAGGCCCAAACCTGAGAACACTATATTCTTTGAATTCCTCCCAGTCAACAGAGGGATACTCTTGTTCCACTTGATGATACCATAATTGTGCCTCACCTAGAAGATGGAATGTTGTCAATCCCACCTTATATGTTTCATTTGTTCTCTGATTGGAGAAAAATTTCTCACAACGGTGCAGCCAAATCAATGGGTCTTTAGATCCGTCAAAAGTAGGAAAATCCAGCTTTGTGTACCTTGGTACTACACTATTTCCTGTCAGCTGATTAGGTCGATTCTCTGGTCTGTAGGGTTGGTTACCTACATTGTTGCATGCTCTAGCATCAGAATCCTTACCTTGATTTTTGTTAAACCCAATAATGAATTCCTACAATTGTAACGATAATTGTTGCAGTTAATTAACCATCCTTGATTCAGATTGTGCCACTACTTCTGTTATTCGTGCTTTGTTGGCAGTCTGCGCCTCTTGAAGGAGAGCTTGTAACTCTTCACGTTTGCTTGGATCGCCCATAGTGTTTGGCTCTGATACCAAGTTGTTATGATCACACATAATGGATCTTGTCACAGAGCGATTCACTGGAAAGTCTGTGTTGAACAGATCCTTTCCCTTGTTTCTATTCCGTGAGCGACCTATTTTGATAACAATAAATAAGTTCGTTAAAGGGAGCCTATAACCTTAGGACTCGTTAGAGAGAGACTCGGATCTCTTGTTGTTTTATATAAATCTTTCCTGCCCGTTTTTTATTCCTTCTGTCTCTTTAAATATAGAGTCTTATTACAAAGCAATTACGTATAACTAGGAGTCTACGGATATAAAAAATCTACTAAATTAAGAATTCTAGAAAAATTAAACTACTGATTATTTAATACCCAACAAATATCTACCAGGTGCATCTACATTACTATAATACTATCTACTTATCCTCTTTGATGTTATTTTCCTCAACTCAAGGGCCTGCCTTGCATAAACTTTACCCACGAATGAGTCTTAACATACTCACAGTTTTCATGCATTGATAATTATGATCTCTTCCCATTTTCGTGCATGCTAATTCCCTTTTCGGTTTTTCTTTCTCAAAATTTTACTTCTGCTCCTTTTTTTTTATTAGTAAAACATTGAATAATAAATTTCTTGAAATTCATGGTAGGCTTACTGCTCAATAAATTTCATACTTGTGTTAGTCCGTGAGTCCAAACCTGTTATAACTTTGTTGAATATGATTGTAAATATCAACATACTTGTAAAGGTGTATGCTTGCAGGTTTTCCATATATACTAATAAACAGTGGCAAAACTAAAAATTTTTTTGGGTGTTCAAACTTAAAAGAAGTAAAAAAATTTACGACAAAGGGTGTTCAATATATGTTATGTACCTCTAAAATTTGATATTTTATCTATACACGCAATGTAATTTTCCGACAATTGACCACCCTTACCAAAGTGTAGCTTTGCCCTTGCTAATAAAGTTGTAGCTTGAAAGTCAAGCAATCTACTAGCAAAAAAGACTTTCTTCAAAATTAAATCCTGTAAAATTAGTAGGAGTATTGGAAGATTAAACAAAGTTGTAGTAGGAAACTAAAATTCCTTAGAATGTGGTATTTGATAATTTATTTAATTTATGTCTAAATAGGATATATAGTCACGAATAAGTATTTCAATTTTTAGTTAAAGTAGGTTCCGTACTATTATAAATAAAAATATGTGTGGAGAATTATAGAGATAAAATTCAGAAATTCGGAGATTTAGAATAAATTATTTTCATTCGAGGTGCATATTTTTTAACACTCGTTGGACTATTTTCTAGGCCAAATAGTACTAATCTCTCTCCCTTTCTTTTTGTCCATTTTCTCTCTTGAATTTCAGAGGTTGTTCCTATGGCAAATTATGAGGCAGAGGAATTTGGGTGAAATTCAAAAATAACCAGATTTATAAAAGGTAATTGAAAAATAGTCACAGTTTCAAAAATAATCGAAATTTAACCATTTTTCATATAAAGATAAAATCTGAACCAAAAACTGTTAAAAATCCGAAAATATTCTGGCATAATATGATAGGGTTCGAATTTTTTACATATGAGTTCCCAACATAATATGTTGGAATTTTATAATGTGTCATAATATGTTGGAAATTTATATGCAATAGCTCCATAATCCCGCATATTATGCTGAAACATTTTGTGTCCTGGAGTTCCAATATAATATACTAGAAGTTTATACGCATGAACTCCATAATCTTGCATATTTTGTTGAAACTTTCCGTGTTTCAGTAAAATAATAATTATTTTTCAATAACTTCGCGAACACTGGTTATTTTTTGATTATCGATCCGAAAAATGGCTAGCTCGGGCTATTTTGATGAGGAATTGGATATTGGCCCACTTTCTGTACTAATGATGAGTGTTAAGAACAACACACAGTGCTCATCAATTGTAGGAACAACAAGAAACTTCTTGGCCGTGTTAGGGCATTTGATCCTCACTGCAACATGGTACTTGAAAATGTTACAGAAATTTGGAGTACTATGGTTCCCAAGACTGATGGAAAAGTACATGTTGCTGCTTGTGTTTTAATTTAGATAACACACTTTCTTTATTAGTCCGTTTAAAAAAAATAACATATTTCTATAATTGGAATCAATTCAACTTTAAACTTTTCATTTTACCCATTTTGTCGTTAATGAAAAGCTTTTATAACCATCTAAATGTCATGGCCTTACAAAGCTTTTACCCCTTAAGTTTTTAAGACCACAGGTTTCAAAAGTCTCCCTCTTTTCTCTTAAACTCTGTGTCGAGTCAAACTACCTCATTTAAATTGAAATGGAGGGAGTATAGCAAAAATAGGTTTATCAGCAAGATGCTCCTTCGCGGAGATTCTGTCATTGTTGTCCAACGAAATCCCAAGTAGGGATGAACCGTCTAGTTTGTGCATAGGCGGATTCAGAATTTAAATTTTATGAATTTTATTTCGATATTCTAACACAAGTCATTTGATTTACTATTGATTTATTGTGTTCGAACTCAATCTTTTGTACTTATTTGGTGAATTTTTAAATACATATTCAGGATTCGAACTAAAACTACTACTTATCTTGTTGTTCCAAATGTATAGTAAGTAGAATTTGCTGTTGATTCTAATTTCAAATGGTTTACGAGCAAGCTTGCTTTTACGGTGATTGTTGAATGTGACTTGCATAGCTAGCGCATAAAGGTTTTTCGGCGTCATATCTACGTATACTATTTTTTTTTTTTTTTTTTTTTTTTTTTTTTTTTTTTTTTTTTTTTTTTTTTTTTTTGTCAAAGATCACTTTTAGCTCGCGGCCAAAATTATTAATATTTGGTACATAAAATTTATATATTTTTTATATATAACATATAAAAATGCATATATATTAAAGAAAATTATATTTTTCGATTATTATTTTAAGAGCGGTTATACAGTGTTATTTTTCCTATTTTCGAATATGTATAGTTTTGCTTCTTTTTTGGAACCTTGGGGCGTTTCATGCCTTGTCAATATTTGAGTAAAGATTCGTTTTCTGTATTTGTAACTGAGGTCATTTTGGAGATACGTATGTTCTTATGGAGCTTTCTGTCAATAACAGTTTCTGTTTGTTTGAAGTTGATTTTTTTACATTCGTATATGAGGTCATTTTAAAGCTAAATATACATGTTGTCTTAATTACATTCATTTTCAAAGACTTGCTGTATTCAGATTCCATTTTAGAGAATGTAATACCTTGGGATTCAAGTTTGGTGAATGGGAAACGGAAGGAGAAAATGAGAAGAAAAATTGTCTTATTGGTAGTG